TAGTCACGTTAAAGATCACTGATCATAGATCACCATAGCAGATAATGATAATGAAAAAGTTTAAAATAGTGCAAGAAATTACCAAAATGTGACACAGACACATGAAGTTAGTATATGCTGTTGAGAAAATGGCGCTGACAGACTTGCTTGATGCTGGGTTGCCACAAACCTGCAATTTGTGAAAAATGCAATATCTGCAAAGCACAATAAAATAAGCCTGTATTCATAAACTTTGAAATATCTTCATTACAAAGGAGAAAACAGCCACCCTAGATATGAAAAGATTTGCCCAAAGTCATTCAACTAGGAGAGAAATGAAGACTAGAACCATGTTATCAGGATTAAAAATAGTGAAAACCTTGGTCTAATAATTATTTTGAATTATAGTTAAGTCACCTTTTTTTTTTTTTGAGACGGAGTCTCACTCTGTCATCCAAACTGGAGTGCAGTGGCACAATCTTTGTTCATTCCACCTCTCAGGTTTAAGCAGTTCTCCTGCCTCAGCCTCCCTATTAGCTGGGATTACAGGTATATACCACCACACCCAACTAATTTTTTAATTTTTAGTAGAGACAGGGTTTTACCATGTTGACCAGACTGGTGTTGAACTCCTGACCTCAGGTGATTTGCCCACCCTGGACTCCTAAAGTGCTAGGATTATAGGCATGAGCCACAGTGTCCAGCCACTTTTTTTTCTTTAGAGGCAGGGTCTCTTTCAGTCTCCCAGGCTGGAGTGCAGTGGTGCAATCATATTTCACTGCAGCCTCATACGCCTGGGCTCAAGCAATCCTCTTGCCTAAGCCTCTGTAACAGCTGGGACTACAGGTGTGTGCCACCACATTCAGCTAATTTTTAAATTTTATTGTAGAGTCAGGGTCTTGCTATGTTGCACAGGCTGGTCTTGAAGTACTAGCTGCAAGTGATCTTCCTACCTCAGCCTCCCGAAGTGTTTCAATTACAGGCATGAACTACTATGCCAGGCCTATTTTCTTTTCTTTTCTTTCTTTTTTTTTTTTTTTTGAGACAGAGTCTTGTTCTGTCGCCAGGCTCCAGGCTGAAGTGCAGTGGTGCGTTCTGGGCTCACTGCAACCTCCGCCTCCCGAGTTCAAGCAATTCTCCTGCCTCAGCCTCCTGAGCAGCTGTGACTACAGGCACGTACCACTATGCCCAGCTAATTTTGTATTTTAGTAGAGATGGGGTTTCACCATGTTGGCCAGGATGGTCTTGATCTCTTGACCTTGTGATCCGCCCGCCTCGGCCTCCCAAAGTTCTGGGATTACAGGTGTGAGCCACTGTGCCCAGCCTCTTTTTTTTTTTTTCTTTTGAGACAGAGTCTCTCTCCATCGCCCAGGCTGGAGTGCAGTGGTGCGATCTCGGCTCACTGCAACCTCTGCCTCCCAGGTTCAAGCAATTCTCCTGCCTCAGCCTCCCAAGTAGCTGGGATTTCAGGTGTCTACCACCTTGCCTGGCTAAGTTTTGTATTTTTAGTAGAGATGGGGTTTCACCATGTTGGCCAGACTGGTCTCAAACTCCTGACCTCAGGTGATGCCCTCCTTGGCCTCCCAAAGTGCTGGGATTACAGGCGTGAGCCACCATATCTGGCCCCCTTTATTACATGTTCCGATTTATAGTCTTTTTGGTAACTTAGAGTATGCATACTTGAAGCATTATCAAGATTCTCATCTAGAAGAGAAGAGTAAGAAAAGAATAATTTGATTGAAAGAAATTGTAAGTCTTATGCCTGTAATTTCAGTACATTGGGAGGCCAAAGTGGGAGGATCACTTCAGGCCAGGAGTTGGAGACCAGCCTGGGCAACATAATGAGACTCCAATCTCTACACACACACACAAAATAAGCCAGGCCTGGTGGCTTGCACCTCTAGTCCCTGCTACTGGAGGGATCGGGGGAGATATGTGAGGTGAAAAAATAGCTTAAGCCTGGGAATTCAAGACTATACTGAGCAGTGATTGCACCACTGAACTCCAGCCTGGGTGACAGAGTGAGACCTTGCTTTAAAAAAAAAAAAAAAAAAAAAAAGATAAGAAAGGAAAAGGAAATACTAAGTATCTGTCATATTTATTTTAAATGTATTAATGGCATTGTCTCATGGACTCCTAGTTCTGGAATACTTAAATCTTCTTTTTTCAAATATAATTTATCAATTTTTTTTTGCTAATCTTCTATGTGCTGCTGAAGTGAGCACTGTTTCTTTCCCTTTATTACGCAGTTTAAAGTTTTGTCAACTTTTAGTCTGTGATGACTCCCAGATTTACTTTATTTTTTATTTCTTTGCTGTTTTCAGAAAATGATATATTTAGTTAGTTTAGGGTTTTAACACTACACATGTAGACTACTATAATAACTTTTAGATTGTCTCTGTTTTTTTTTTTTTTTTTTTTTGAGACGCAGTTTCCCTCTTGTTGCCCAGGATGGAGTGCAATGGCATGATCTTGGCTCACCACAACCTCTGCCTCTCAGGTTCAAGCAGTTCTCCTGCCTTAGCCTCCTGAGTAGCTAGGATTACAGGCGCCTGCCACTATACCCAGCTAATTTTTGTATTTTTAGTAGAGATGGGGTTTTACCATGTTGGCCAGGATGGTCTCCAACTCCTGACCTCAGTGATCGACTCACCTCAGCTTCCCAAATTGCTGCAATTACAGGAGTGAGCCATCACACCAGCCTGGATTATTGCATTTAAAAATTTTGTTTATTATTTACCAATTTATTTGTTTTGAAACAAGGTCTTACTCTGTCACCCAGGCTGGAGTGCAGGGGCATTATCACAGCTCACTTCAGCCTCAATCTCCTGGGCTCAAATGATACTCCCATCTTGGCCTTTCCCCTAGTAGCTGGAACTATAGGCACACACCACCACACCTGGCTAATTTTTAAATTTTTTGTAGAGATGGGGGATCTTTTTATGTGCTGATAATGAGAGGAAGGAGGATCACTTGAGCCCAGGAGTTCAACACCAGCCTCTTGAACTTCTGGCTCAAGCGATTCTCCCACCTCAGCCTCACAAAGTGCTGGGATTACAGGTGTGAGCCTCTGCAACTGGATTAAAAATTTTTTTTTCTTCAAATCATCTAGCATACTACTGTCTAGAAATCATTCCAGAATAAATTCTTTTTTGTTGTTGTTTTAAACGTATTTTTAGATAATTTATCTCTAGATGTTTGAAACTACTTATTGCTAAAAATTTCCCTTTATATTGGGCAACCAATAAAGATTTTTATTAAATATTTCATTATTCTACTTGTTTAGTTCAGGCATTCTTACTTAAGAGCCACAACACTTAAAGATTCCTTGGATAGAATTCAGGGAATTTGTGAATTTGTATGAGTAAAAAATTTCATTTTTATTTTTACTAATGTAGGGGAGAACATATCTTTCTTTCTTTTTTTTTTTTTTTTTTTTTTTTTTTTGAGACAGAGTTTCGCTCTTGTTACCCAGGCTGGAGTGCAATGGCGCAATCTCGGCTCACCGCAACCTCCGCCTCCTGGGTTCAGGCAATTCTCCTGCCTCAGCCTCCTGAGTAGCTGGGATTACAGGCATGCGCCACCATGCCCAGCTAATTTTTTGTAGTTTTAGTAGAGACGGGGTTTCACCGCGTTGACCAGGATGGTCTCGATCTTTTCACCTCGTGATCCACCTGCCTCGGCCTCCCAAAGTGCTGGGATTACAGGCTTGAGCTACCGCGCCCGGCCGAACATATCTTTCTTTCTACCCATCCTAGGTTTAGGGCTGAGATTCCTATTACAAAAGAGAGATTAGCAAGAGAAAAGCATACACATTTATTTAATATAACTTTTACATGACACAAGAGCCTCCATAAGGAAATAAAGTCCCAAAGAAACAGTTAAACTTGAATTTTTTTAATAGTAGGTTTGATGAAGAGCAGCCAGTGATAGAGAAATGTCATAGGGCAAAGTGTGGAGAAGTTAAATGTAACACACTGGGGGAAACTTAGCAGGTCTTTTTGTTTAGATTCCTCTTTGTGTCCCTGTGCTTTTGAAGGTAAAGATGCTCCTTTTCTCTGGGTGCGGGGAGACCACCTCTTACACGAGGGTCTTACGATTTACTTCAGGGGAAGATCAGGAAATCCTTCCTAGGTTTTGTGGCTGCTCCTGGGGAGAAGGTCAGAGTCACTTTCCTGCTTCTGCAGTTTCCTCAAATGCCTCCAGCTTAAAATATTCAATATGTCAAGGTGCTGTATTTTGTGTAGGGCGTCCTGAACCTTGTCACTAACCTCTAACTGAAAGTTAGGATTTTCTTCAATTCTGAACATAGTTCATAAAGCACAGTAATATTAGCAATACTTCACCATCAAAAGAAAACCCAGATATTTTCATATCACACTACTTTTTTGCATCTATTTTCGTTATGCTCATCACTACATCAAATTTAGGATAGCTATTAACTCTTATTTAATGCATTTATATTAGCATATAACAAACTTATATTTAACATTTTAATAACTGTATTTCAATATAATTGGCTTCCTTTGTAATCCTATATGTTTTATGCATTTACAAACATGATTCTGAGAAGGCATTCATAGGCTTTATCAGATTGCTAAAGACTAAGAACCCATGTTTTTGTTCTACTTTCAAATACTTGTGGATAAAAACAAAAAATATGTTAAAAACTGAAAAGTAGGCTAGGTGAAGTGGCTCATGCCTAGCACTTTGGGAGGCCGAGGTGGGTGGATCACCTGAGGTCAGGAGTTCAAGACCAGCCCGGCCAACGTGGCAAAACCCTGTCTCTACTAAAAATGTAAAAATTAGCTGGGCGTGGTGGTATGCACCTGTAATCCCAGTTGCTTGGGAGGCTGAGGCAAGAGAATCTTTTGAACTGGGTAGGCAGAGGTTGCAGTGAGTTGAGATGGCACCATTGCACTCCAGCCTGGGCGACAGAGGGAGATGCTGTCTCAAAAAAAGAAAAAAAAAAAAAAAAAACCCCACAAAAATGAAAACTAATCAACTAAATCCTTTTTAACTATAATATCTACAATATTCTCTACACTTTTTATGATAGCCATGTATTATGGTATTATGTTTTTATATTTAGCAAATCTTCTTCCTTAAAATGTGCTTTATGGAGAAGGAGCCAGACTTAGTGAAATTAGTTTAGGTCAGTTTAGGATACATTAATGACATTACCCCACACATTGTTCATGCCCATGACATGAACTTGAGAGATGCGTCTACTTCTCTAGAGCATCTGTGAGGAAGATCCGTCTGGATCAGACAAAAGTGTAAGCAGTGGGGTAACGGCTGTTGTACTCCAGCTGGCTCAGTTATTTGCCAAGAAAAGGCCTTGGTCAAATTGTTATGGCTAGGTCAAAATAATTTGGACTAGTATATTAAATTGTTGATCATTAAAACAATTCTTCCAAAGTGCTTGTGTTTTATGCATTTGTTTTCTTTAACGTGATTTAATTTAAAAACGTTTACTGAATCCTCTTTTTTTTAAGACAGGGTCTCGCTCTGTCACCCAGGCTGGAGTGCAGTGGCACAATCACAGCTCACTGCAGTCTTGACGTCCTGGGCTCACATGATCCTTCTGTCTTAGACATCTGCTTAGCGGGGACCATAGGCACACACTGCCACTCCTAGCTAGTTTCCTTTTAATTTTTGTGGAGACAGGTCCTCACTATGTTGCCCAGGCTGGTCTTGAACTCCTGAGCTCAAGGCGATCCTCCTACCTCAGCCTCCCAAAGTGTTGAGATTACAGGCGTGAGCCACCACACCCGACGTGTTAAATCCTTTCATGTGCAAAGATACAATCTGAGCCCTTAGGACATTTATAGCCTAATATTTTCTTTCTTTTTGTTTCTCTTTTTTAAATTTTACTTTTATTTAGCCTAATATTTTCTTCCATCAAAGTTGCTAAAGCCCATCACCAGAATACCACAATTAATATTTTCAGGGTAGAGTATCAATAGTTGCCTAGGAATAAGAATGGTATGTGGCAATGATAGACATATGAAATGGCAGATTTATTAAGTACTTTTAAGCCATCAAGTTACAAAAGGCTGTTAAGGGTCTTAAAAAGACAAACAGTATACAATAAAACAATGAGAAATGACAGATTGTTTTAGGTTGAACAATTTTTATACAGTTTTATCTACAGTACATTACTAATTTACTTAGCAAACTTTTTCCTGAGATTTGCAAAGTTAAAAAAAGGAAAAATCAAATTATATTTTCTTTTTTTTTTTGTTTTTTGAGACAGTCTCCACTCTGTCACCCAAGCTGGAGTGCAGTGGCGTGATCTCAGCTCACTGCAGCCTCAACCTTTTGGGTTCAAGGATTCTCCTGCCTCAATCTCCTGAGTAGCTGGGATTACAGGCATGCACCACCATGCCCAGCTAGTTTTTTGTAGTTTTAGTAGTGAGGGGGTTTCACCATGTTAGCCAGGCTGATCTTGAACTCCTGGCCTCAAGGTGATCTGCCTGCCTTGGCCTCCTAAAGTGCTGGGATTACAGGCGTGAACCACCACGCCCAGCCTCAAACTATATTTTCTAAATAGTACAGTAAATATACATTAATCATGACACAATTATTTCTTCTGGATACAGCAGGAAAAATTAAGAGAAAGTGCTTCACATTTCTTGATTTGTTATAAAACGAAGAGATCCTCTAGATTTCTGGGTAAGAGGGATAATTAGCAATCCCACAATGATTTCCTCTATTTCTTGCCATCCGAATATATCCTTGTTCACCGAAGTTGCTGCCCCAGCTTTAGAAAAAGAAATAATACAAAATTACAAATGCATACAATCAAATAATATTATCAACTTTTTTTTTATATTATCAACTTTTTATCTTATTGTTTTTCCTCTATAAGTGGTTACATATGAAAGGCTATAAAACAAAATTAGAATGAAATAATATAATAATTTCTCTAGGGATTTCAGGCAAATTTAAATATGGGTTTGGAAAGCTTTAGTGCTATATTGATGAATAGACTTAATACCTAAGGAAAACTATAGTAAGATCCACCCCAGTTCTTTAATCCTCCTACTTAAAAAATATGCCTTCTCTAAGGAAAGAGTATTAGTATCCTTTATAAGACTTTATCTCTAAATTTTTTGATACTAGTATCACGGGTAATTATTTTCTATCAAACTTAAATTCCTCTAGAGAATGTCAATTAAGGAATATTTTTGAGTGACTACTATGAAAAAGGTACACAGCAGGGAATTCTAAAGTAAACAATAAAAATGCAGCTCTGAAAGAGCTTTTTGATCTAGAAGTGGAGCTGAGATAAGACTTTCTCATAATTAAAGCTATTGAAAAATGAGCCAGGCATGGTGGCTCACACTTGTAATCCAAGTGCTTTGAAAAGCTGAAGTGGGAGGATTGTTTGAGGCCAAGAGTTTGAAACCAGCCTGGGCAATATAGCAAGACCCTGTCTCTACCAAAAAAAATGTTTTTTTGAGACGGAGTCTCACTGTTTCCCAGGCTGAAGTGCAGTGGCACAATCTTGGCTCACTGCAACCTCTGTCTCCTGGGTTAGAGCAATTCTCCTGCCTCAGCCTCCTGAGTACCTGGGATTACAGGTGTGTACCACCATGCCCAGCTAATTTTTATATTTTTGGTAGAGACGGGGTTTCGCCATATTGGTCAGGCTGGTCTTGAACTCCTAACTTCAGGTGATCCACCCTCCTCAGCCTCCCAGAGTGTTGGGATTACAGGCATAAGCCACCATGCCTAGCCCCAAAATTTTTTTTTTTAATTAGCCAGGCATAGTGGCTCTATTCCTTAGCTACTCTGCAGGCTGAAGTGGGGAGGGTCACTTGAGTCCAGGGATTCGAGATTACAGTGAACTATGATTGCACCACTGCATTCCTGACACTCCAGCCCGACCCTGTCTCAAAAACAAAAGAAAGAAAAAGAAAAGAAAAGAAATATTTCTACCTGGCACTGGAAGGGTTCAAGCAAGTGGAATCTACTTGGTAGAGATGCTGCAGATGGAATTCATGGGTCAGATTAGGGTTCGAGGTGATCAGTGTTTCACTTTTTGATTTCATGGACTTAGAGGAGTTCAGAAAGTTTTTACAGATTGATACATAGTTATCAATTTAAAAACCATACTATTGGCTGGGCACGGTGGCTCATGCCTGTAATCCCAGCACTTTGGGAGGCCGAGACGGGTGGATCATTTGAGGTCAGGAGTTCGAGACCAGCCTGGCCAACATGGTGAAACCCCGTCTCTACTAAAAATAAAAAATTATCAGGGCGTAGTAGCATGTACCTGAGTCCCAGCTACTTGAGAGACTGAGGCAGGAGAATTGCTTGAACCCAGGAGGCGAGGTGGAGTTGCATTAAACTGACATTGTGCCTCTGCATTTCAGCCTGGGCAACAGAGTGAGACTCTGTCTCAAAAAAAGAAAATAAAGAAAAATCATACTACTTACTATCACCATCGTGTTGTAAAAGAAAAGACATTTTAACAGAAAGCAAAAAATCCAAAGATATAATCTCTATTTTAAGGATAGTCTTTTGAGTAAATTCAGATTTATGAAAAAGTCACCAAAATATTTTTATTTTTCATATTTTACCAAGACTGATGAAAAAACTGACAAAATCCTTTTAAGAGGAATGATTTCTGAAGCTCTTTATGATTCTGAGGTTTTATAGTGGTAGATATGTAAATATTATACAAGGCAGAATTCATTAAGTGCTCTAGGATACAAATAAAAGCATGAAATTGAGAAAATGCCTAGTGTGCCTGGAGTGTAAGAAATGTGGTTGAAAGGAAAACCGGATATCTTTAGTGTAATAGTGGAAAAAGAGGACAGAAAGCTGGTTTGGGGCCATCCTGTGAACAGCTTAGAACTGCAGGTGGAGGAACATGTACTTCAATTACATAGGCAAAGGGGAGCTGTTACAAATTTTGGCTCAGGGACTCAAAGGCTGTGTTTTTGCATGCAGTGGAGAACCTAAGAAATGCTGGTTTATTGCTGGCAGACAAATGATACCATTTAAAAGGACTGTGCTTTAAGAGGCCTTTCATATTCTATATATCAGCCCTCATTGGACAATTCGCAGGTCCTATTTTTATCTCTCTGTATCATTTAACACAGTTGTCTACTCCCACCTCACTGGTCTGTTGGCTTTAAGACACTACTATGTTCTGATTTTCTCATCTGTCTCTGGTCACTCCTTCTCAAACATTTTCATGAGCTCCTTTCTCTGCTTCCTTTCACTTAGTTGCCACTCCACTGCTTAGAAATATTCAATGGCTCTCCATACCTTTACAATAAAATTCAAACTCCATCATCCCTTCTAATAAATCAATGGCTGCACTGTTTTCTTTTTTTTTTGACAGAGTCCCACTGTGTTGCCCAGGCTGGAGTGTGGCTGCAGCTACGACCTCCTGAGCTTAAGCAATCCTCCTGCCTCAGCCTTCCAAGTAGCTAGGACCACAGGTGCATACTACCATGCTCAGCTAATATTTTATTTTTAGTAGAGAAGAGGTCTCACTATGTTGCCCAGGCTGTAGCAATGTTCTTTTAATACCTAGTTTGATAACAAAAGCCATAATAATTGTGTGGCCAGGCTATTATTAATAGCTACCATTTATTTAGCACTTACTCTGTGCCAAACAGATTCACATAAATTATCTAATTTAATCATCATTCTGTGAGGTTAGTATTATTTTCTTTTCTAAAGAAAAAAACAGAAGGTCAGAGTGGTAAAGTAGCTTGCCAAATGTCACATAGATGGTAAACTGTGAAGACAGAGTTCAAATCTAAGATTATTTTATTCCAAAGCCCACTCTAACTTTTATACTGTCTATCCCTGTAGTAATCTCTGTGAGTGAAGTCATATGGGGAATGAAATTCAGATCAGAACGTCCAGGATGTCATGTAATTTACATCTTACTATGGTCACTGCCTTAAATAATAGATAAAATAAATAATTTTAGATGAAATGAGTTTGGACCTGAGTTCTAGTATGAAAATTGAATTGAGGGTCTAGTTACTAGCAGTATGAATTCAGTCAGTGAGACCAAGGAATCCGAGACCCCATTCAACATCTGAACAACTTACTTTTCTCAGTTTTACAGATCAAGATCAGCTGCCCCCAATTTTGCATAAGATCTCAGACCTCTTTTTGACTGAATCCTGCTAACTTCACTTAAACCATGAAACTGATAAAAAATCTTAAGCTAAATAAAATATGTGAGGACAAATTCTTGCCTTCAGAACTATACAAGGTCTGTTCCAAATGTTAATTTCAGTACTTACCAAGTTGTATATTTTTATTGATTTTATAACTCTTTCACTCAAACTGTTCAAATTTGGGTAAGTTTGTTAACTAAATGTCTCTCATAGGATTACTTTAAAAATTAAATGAGAAAATGTATTTAAAGTACTTGCACAATATTTGGTACATAGCCAATGCTTACTAAGTGAAAGTAGCTATTTTTATCATTATCCAGGTATGAGTCCATCTGATTGAACTCAAGTAGAGTCCGTCTACTTTAAAACATATATATATATATATATATATATATGGCCTTCTTCTAGGGTGACCACCAGTCCCAGTTTGCCTGGGACTGTCCTGGTTTTAAAAAGAAAGTCCTATGTCCCAGAAAGCCTCATCACATAGCCCTTAGCAAAGTGGAAAAGTTGGTCATCCTACCTTCTCCTTGTATATCATAAGGCTACTAACTTATTAGACTTCTAAAATCGATGCCGGTTTCCTTTGTAATAGGCTGAAGTCCAGGGTTTCTTAGGCTGTGCCAGACACTTTCCTAGGCATTAGGATTACAGAGACAAAGTCTTTCTAAAGCCTAGGTTCTAGAGGGAAACATACAATAAACAAAGAAATACTTGATATAATATGATATATACAATAAAGAAAAATAAAGCAGGATAAAGGATACAAAGTGTTAGAGACAGGGCTCAATTTTAGGTGGAATGGTCGGGCTGGGAAAAGCTTAGCCTCACAAACAAACATGCAAGTGAAGCAAAGACCTAGATAAAGAGCTGGGAATAAGCGTGGTGTGTCTGAGAAACAGCAAAAAGGCTAGTGTGCCAGGAGTTGGCAGAGAGGGGAGAGTAGTTGGAGAGGTGGTTGGAGAGGCAGGCTAAGGCCAGATAATGTCATGCTTTACAGGTCATGGGTTTTAAGTGGGAAGGAAGGCCATTAGAGGGTTTGGGGTAGGAGGGTAACACAATCTACTTTATGCTTTAAAAGATAATTTTGGCTACTGTGTAGAGGATTGATTGTAAGCAAACGAGAGGGAAGCAGCTACCTGTTATGAGATTACTGCAACAGACCAGGAGATAGATGGATGGTGGCTTGAGGTATAATGGTAACAGTAGAAGTATTGAGAAGATGTGAGGGGTGTTATGGGTTGCATTGTATCCCCCCAAAATTCATGTTGGAATCCTAACCTCCAGTACCTCAGAATATGATCTTATTTAAAGATAGTGGTGATGTAGACATAATTAACTAAATTAAAATACGGTCATTAGCGTGGGTCCTAACCAACATGGCTGATGCCCATGAAAAGGAAAAACTGGCCAGGTACGGTGGCTCACACCTATAATCCCAGTGCTTTGGGAAACCAAATCAGGAGGATCACTTGAGCCCAGGGGTTTGAGACCAGCCTGGGAAACAGCAAAATCCTGTATCTACAGATACAAAAAAATTAGCCGGGTGTGGTGGTGCATGCCTGTAGTCCCAGCTACTTCGGTGGCTAATGTGGGAGGATTGCTTGAGCCCAGGAGTTTGAGGCTGCAGTGAACACTGATCACCCCACTGCACTCCAGCCTAAGTGACAGAGTGAGATTCTGTCTCAAAAAGTGGGAAGACAGTAAAATTATAAATAGAGACAGAAACGCATACAGGGAGAATGTCATGTGAAAATGAAGGCAGAGGTCAGGGTGATGGTTCTTAAACACCGAGGAAAGTCAAAGATCACCAGCAAACTTTCAGAAGCTAGGGGAGAGCCATCAAACCTATATGTTTTAAATTAAAAGAACATATTTGATTGACACAAATTGTATACACTGAAAGTGTACAGTGTGATGATTTGAAGTATAGGCACATTGTGCAATAATTGCCATAATCAAAGGAAATAATGCATCCATCTCCACCCACGCTGTACCTTTGATTCCCAGAATTTGTTTATCTTCTACCTGAAAGTTTACACTCTTTGATCAACATTTCCTCATCTCCCCAGCCTCCAGTCACTGGCAACTATCATTCTACTGTCTGTTTCTGTAAGTTTGACTTTTTTAGATCCCATGTGTAAGATCATATAGTGTTTTTTCTTCCTGTGTCCACGAACATTTTCTTCCTCACAATGTGAGAAGGAAGTAACCTTGCCAACACCTTGATCTTACACTGCCAGCCTCCAGAACTGGGAGACATAAATTTCTGTTATTTAAGCTGCTCAGCACATGGCACTTTGTGTTATGGCAGTCATAGCAAACTAGCACAAAGAGAAACTCCAGGTGTGCCCCAAAGACTCAATCTTCATGTATCCTCTGTCTTTTACCTCTAGAAGTTATGTTCCTTTTGTTTATGAGTGATATAGATGTCAGTTAAATGCATGTATTGAGAAGCCTTTAGGTGCCACCCACTCAGTCTGCACTGTGGATGTGAAGACAAGACGTAATATCTCCCCAAAGGCATGTACAGAACATTGGAGTGACAGACAGGTAAATATGCAATTTAAATATGATACCTAAAATGCTGTGATCCAGCATGCACAGGACATTTTGGCAGCATAGAAAAAAGACATTTTGCTCAGCCCAAGGATTCAGGCAAGCCTTTCTGGAATAGATAATGCCTGAGCTGCTTCTGAAGAAAGGGAGACGTAAACCAAAAGAGAAGACAGGATGTTCCAGGCAGAGGGAACCCAGATATGAAGGAAGGCATTACAGATAAAGTGGAATGTATGGGAACTGCAACTGTGGGTAGCACAACATAACCAGAGTGAAAAGCAGGAGCCAACAAAGACCAGGAGGTGAGGCTGGCAAGGGAGCACAGCTACAGGACATGTCCTCTGTCAGGGAGCATTAACTTTATACCAAATGAGACTCAGTAGAAGAGTTATAAGCCCAGACTTATTCACATTTTAGACAAATCAGTTCGGCAGCAGTATGAAAGAGGGATTTGAGGGTAAAGGGGAAGAAAAGAGAGAGTAAAGGAGACCAGTTAGAAGGGCACAGCAATGATCCACACCAGAATAGTCCACACCAGAGATGTCTGAACAAGAGCCGCAAGAGAAGAAACAGAGAAGGGACAGGATCAAGGACACAGATGAGGTAGAATGGTTTGACTAATTGGTTGCTTGGTTGGACTTGGGGAGATCTCAGATGAATCCATCATATCTTACCGGCTGACTATGCTGTGTGGCCCCTTACTGATATGGGAAATTCCGAAGGAGGAACAATATGGGGGAGAGAGTCCTGAATTATTTGGACGTATTGAGTTTGGAGAGGCTAAGATATGTGTAAGTGAATGTGTCCACGTAAGTCTGAAGTTCTGGGAAGATGTCAGAGCTAGAGCTAGAGATTCCAAAGCCACTGGAATATATAGGTTATAGCTAGAGTCCTAAGAGTGGAATTGTGGCACCCTAGAAAAAGTAGAATAGGAAGAGGAAGGGGCAGAGGATAGAGCCCTGGGAAAATACCAGCATTTTGGGGCTAAACAGAGGAACAGGTTCATAAGAGAGGCTGGGAAGGAATAATCAGAGAAGTGCTACAGAAAATAAACCATGAAAACAAAGTGATGAAGGCAGAGTAGTAGGTGAAAAGATGGGGGCACTGAATAATTTAGAATGTCACTTTGTGAGAAGCTATAAAGTTCATCATTGTCAATATCGTGATCATCATCATCATCGAAATCATAAGAAAGTGTTTACTGAAACTCCCTCAAATTCCGGATTCCAATTAAATATAAAGTATAAATATATTACCTGTTTTTCACAAGCCAGTATTCTTTCCCATTAAGGTCACCATAGCCAATCACAAGTACACCATGATTCACTTTCTGAGTACAGGCTGGGTCATAGTAGACACCTGAGAATCAAATATGGGTGGGAAAAAAGTGAATGCTATAGGATAATAAAGGACATTTAAAAACGGTATTACTTTTTATTAGCCTTCTTTGGATACATAGCAAGGTTAATAAAAAAAGTTAAGGACGTACACACTCATGTGTAAACTAGGGCTCATCATTATTTGCCATCAATGCTATATTTTCAGTATTCTTGTCAAGCTTAGCATCACTCCAATCATAGTTCCCCCAGAAACCTTCTTTGATAAGCACACCACTTTTTTCTAAGTTTTTTCTTTTATTTTTTGTTTTCTTCCTATTTTTAAACTTGCAAACAATCAGTTATTGTAATTCTGTCCGTATACAGGCATATCTCATTTTATTGTGCTTTGCTTTATTGTGCTTCGTAGATACTACCTCGGCCACCCAAAGCGCTGGGATTACAGGCATGAGCCACTGCACCTAGCCAGATACTGCATTTTTTACAAATTGAAGGTTTATGGCAATTCTACATTCAGCAAGTCTATTGGTACCATTTTTCCAAAAACATGTGCTCATGTTATGTCCTTGTACCATATTTTGGTAATTCTCACAACCTTTCTCATCATTATTATATCTGTTATGGTCATCTGTGATCAATGATCTTTGATGTTAATATTATAATTTTGGGGGTGAGTTATAAACCACACCTATATAAGATAGCAGACTTAACCCACAAATGTGGCGTGTGTTCTGACTGATCCACAGACTGGCTACACTCCTGTCTCTCTCCTCAGGCCTCCCTATTCCCTGAGACACAATGATATTAAAACTATGCCAAATAATAACCCTATGATGGCTCCTAAGTATTCAAGTAAAAAGAAGAGTTGCATATGTCCCACTTTAAATCAAAAGCTAGAAGTAATTAAGCTTATTGAGAAAGGCATGTTGAAAGCCAAGACAGGCCAGAACCTAGCCTAGGCCTCTTGTACCAAACAGTCAGCCATGCTGTGAATTTAAAGGAAAACTGCTTAAAGGAAATTAAAAATGCCCACTCTGGTGAACACACAAATGACAAGAAAATGAAACAGTCTTATTGCCGATATGGAGAAAATTTCAGTGGTCTAGATAAAAGAGTAAACCTGCCGAGCATGCCCTTATGCCAAAACCTAATCCAGAACAAGAAGCCTAACTCTCTTCTGTTGTAAGAAGGCTGAGAGAGGTGAGGAAGCTACAGAAGAAAAGTTTGAAGCCAGCAGATGCTGGTTCAAGAGGTTTAAAATTCCCTCCCTCCCTTCCCCACTCTCTTTCTTCCTTCTTTCTTTCTTTCTTTTTTTCTTCCTTGTTTTTTAGAGACAGGTCTTCACTCTGTTGCCCAGGTTGGAGTACAGTGGTATAATCATACCTCACTGTAACCTCAAACTCCTGGGTTCAAGCGATCCTCCCATCTCAGCCTCCTAAGTAGGAGAGACTACAAGTGTGTGCCACCATACCCAGCTAATTTTTAGTTTTATTTTTTGTAGAGATAAGGGTCTCCCAATGTGGCCCAGGCTGGTGTCAAACTCCTAGATTGCTCAAGCAATCCTCCCACCTTAGCCTTCCAAAGCGTCAGAATTACAGGCATGAACCACCACGCTTAACCACCAAGAAAGAAAGAATATTCTTTCTTTCTTTAAATTCTTTTTTTTTCTTTTTTGAGATGGAGTTTCACTCTTGTTGCCCAGGCTGGAGTGCAATGGTGCGATTTTGGCTCACTACAACCTCTGCTTCCCAGGTTCAAGCAATTCTCCTGTCTCAGCCTCCTGAGTAGCTGGGATTACAGGCATGTGTACCACCATGCCTGGCTAATTTTGTATTTTTAGTAGAGACAGGATTTCTCCATGTTGGTCAGGCTGGTCTTGAACTCCCGACCTCAGCCTCACAAAGTCTTGGGATTACAGCCACTGCACCCGGCCTTCTTTCTTTAAATTCTTATTGTTTTATATTTATTTATTTTACCACTTCTGTAGAGGAAGAAAGAAGGATGACTTGCATCTACACCAACACACACTGGGCCTTTATTGGCCACAGCTTCTTTCAGGACATCTTCTCTGCCATAAGGAAGTTCAGTGTACTTTGAACATGTGGCAGCACGATATTTTGAGTCATATTGACATTTCTGATCCTGCAAAAAGAAGTATAAACCAGATAAAGAAGTATACTTCAACTCCTTTATAAATCACCAGTATCCATAGCCTGGATTTGAAATATGTCTTCTTTCCTTAATTTTTTCATGTGTCTAAGGCTCCTTTCTTTGCAAATCTTCCAAATCCTAACAATCCCAGGTTTCACCAATAATGGGGGAAATACAGAACTATTCTATTTTTTCAAATTGTGAACATCTTCATAGACGCAAAATTTGCCAGGACAATGTCCCCTCAGACTCTGAGGTAGACTGTAGGGAAATATTACATAGAGATAATAAACTCTAGATGAGAGCTTTAAAATCTTTTTGATGCCTACAAGATGATCTGCGGTTAAAATGATGGTATATAAAGACCATATAATATGGGAAACACAAGTGTATTTCAAGTGGGAAAAGGAAAGTTACAAATTTATGTTTGTTGTATATACAACTATGTTTTGTGTTTAGTTATTTATATTATTTATTTTTTTAAGACAGGCTCTCACTCCATTGTCCAGGCTGGAGTGCAGTGGCACAATCATAGCTCACTGCTGCCTGTTGCCTCCATCTCCTGGGCTCAAGTGATTCTCCCACCTCAGCTTCTTGAGTAGCTGAAACTGCTACGAAGGTGCACACCACCATGCTTGGCCAATTTTTTTTTTATTTTTAGTAGAGGTGAGGTCTCGCGATGTTGAACAGGCTGGTCTCAAACTCTTAAGTTCAAGCAAGCCTTCCAGCTTGACCTTCCAAAGTGCTAAGATCACAGGCATGTACCATCACACCTGGACAACTACATTTTGTAAGTGCTTAACAGGGAGATAACTTGAAAGAAATAAACCAAAATAATAGTGGTTAAGGTAGAAGGTTTTTGAGTCATATTTTTATCTTTTTTTTTTTTTTTTTTTTTTTTTTGGGACGGAGTTTTGCTCTTGTTACCCAGGCTGGAGTGCAATGGCACGACCTCGGCTCACCGCAACCTCCGCCTCCTGGGTTCAGGCAATTCTCCTGCCTCAGCCTCCTGAGTAGCTGGGATTACAGGCATGTGCCACCATGCCCAGCTAATTTTTTGTATTTTTAGTAGAGACGGGGTTTCACCGTATTGACCAGGATGGTCTCGATCTCTTGACCTCGTGATCCACCTGCCTCGGCCTCCCAAAGTGCTGGGATTACAGGCTTGAGCCACCGCGCCCGGCCCATATCTTTATCTTTAAAAAATCTTCTGTAACATGACATAATCCTTAGGTTATTGTTATAATCTTTATAATATCATTTGATAAAATGTATAATAAATCTGCGAGGAAGAAGAAAGCATTATTTAGCTTCTCAATGGGTGGAAGAATGAAGTCGTTAATGATCTGAGAATAAGGTTGAGCATGGGAGGCTTCAGAAGAAAAGGCTTAAATACACAGAAATAATTTTAAGGATAGTTTGCTTAAAATCTGTTCTTTTTTTTTTTTTGAGACTGAGTCTTACTCTGTTGCTGAGGCTGGAGTACAGTGACCTGATATTGGCTCACTGCACCTCCGCCTCCTGAGTCCAAGTGATTCTCCTGCCTCAGCCTCCCAAATAGCTGGGACCACAGATGTGCTCCAACACGCCCGGCTAATTTTTGTATTTTTTGTTGAGATGGGGTTTCACCATGTTGGCCAGGCTGGTCTCAAATTCTTGACCTTAGGTGATTCACCCACCTCGGCCTCCCAAAGTGCTGGGATTACAGGTGTGAACCACTGTGCCCTGCCATTAAAATCCGTTTTTAAGCATGAATGCTACTTTTTGTCTAATGATATATTAAGAAGAGTACTTCATCAGAAAGAGAACTTCTGAGAATTTAAGAATTCCTGGCTGGGCGAGGTGGCTTACGCCTGTAATCCCAGCACTTTGGGATTCATCTGTCCCAAGGTGGGCAAATCATGAGGTCAGAAGATGAAGACCATCCTGGCTAACACAGTAAAACCTCGTCTCTACTAAAAATACAAAAAAGTAGCCGGGCGTGGTGTCGGGGACCTGTAGTCCCAGCTACTCAGGAGGCTGAGGCAGGAGAATCACTTGAACCCAAGAGGCGGAGGTTGCAGTGAGCCGAGACTGTGCCACTGCACTCCAGCATGGGTGACCGAGTGAGACTCTGTCTAAAAAAAAAAAATTCCTCTTCAGGGTTTTATCTCACACATAATACTGCTTCTCAAACAATTGGTGTGGTGGCAAGCCCACTGCAATCGGTCAATGGATAACATAAGGTCATGTAGCAACACAAAAAGTTTGCCTGTGACGCACCGTGGCTTTGTAGGGATAGGAAGCTTCTGAGTCGATGCCTTTGTTATCAATGATGTACTGGAAAGCCTCTGTCATGAAGCCACCATTGCAGCCTTTGTTTCCATATTTTTCAGAGCAATCCACCAGGTTCTGGGCACTGAGAGACACCAGCTTTCCTGTTTTCAGCTTCAGCTGTGCCTCCAGGGCTCCCACAGCACTGAAAGCCCAGCAAGAACCACAAGAACCCTGAAACAGACAGGGTCACAAATGCAAATCACAGAAAATCATTTGAAATGACTTCTATAACAAACTGGACAACGCCCAATTACATCAGCTCTGTCCCTAGTTCCCAGGAACAGCTCCCCTGCTACAGTTTTCTTCTGCCTTTGACAATGGGAATGAAGACTAAACACTTGATTGTTATCTAGGCAAGGTCCAACCTTGAAAGAGATTTGCAATTGGCCAAGCTCAGAGCATAATGGTCATATTCAAATATATTAGGAAACAATACTCACTGAACATGTACCAAATCACACCTATTTTCACCTGTAAGTAAGGGAGATAGTTGCCTACAGTAATGAGATTTGAGAGAAGCTAGGATGATTTCCTTGACCTAAAATACCCTTTCTCCTGTCAAATGATGACTGAAACATAAGAAGTTTAATCCTAGGTTGGCATTTTTCAAACCTTATTATCCTCAGAATTTTTTTGATCAAAAATATTTTACAAGGAGGCATGAACAAACAGAAAAAGGCAAATCTGCTTTAGTTTTAAATGGGGAAAAATGTCCAAAGCCTCATCATAATTGTTCTCTTTCTCTCTCCTCCCCTCCTCCCACCTTGCTCTCCACCCAAAGAAGGCAAATTGACATTGCTTTTGGTTGAAGCAAAATTGCTCATTAAAATGCAAGCACCCAAAGAAAGGAGTTCATTAACTTACTCAGAGTTAACATCTAAATATGTAGTTTATTGGGTCTTCTAAAGCTGTTATTTTAGAGAACTTCCAGTAAGAAATCCAAAACTAGTTGAAAGAAAAATATGTAGGTGGAAAAGAATAAGAGATTAGCAGTACCTTTCCTTCTTTTTGTTTTGTTTTGTTTTGAGACAGGATTTCCACTCAGACTGAAGTGCAGTGGTGCAATCATGGCTCACTATAACCTCCAACCTCCCAGGCCCAAGCAATCCTCCCATGTCAGCCCCACAAGTAGCTGGGACTACAGGTGTGCACCATGCCTGGATAATTTTTATTTTTTGTAGAGATAGGGCCTCACTATATTGCCTAGGTTTGTTTCTAACTCCTGGGCTCAAGTGATCTTCCTGCCTCTGCTTCCCAAAGTGCTGGAATCACAGACATGAGCCACTGTGCCTGACCATCATTTACTTCCTAACACATTTTTACTTTCTTCATTCATCACAAGCTGGGGTAGTTGCTCAGAATGCTCTGATTCCTCTCACTTATCCTGACTTCAATGGTGACACATGTGTTTTATCTCTAACTAATTTAGGATTTTTGCAGATTTTTAAAACAAGCAAACTAAGGAAAATACAACAGCATAGGAACAATGATTTTATAAGGCACATATTTCATATGCTAACAGTTCAAGACTAGCCATGAATTAACTTGAGTGGCACAATTTATAGACCACTCTAGCTGTAGTTGTTTCTTCTCCTTCAACTCTGAAATTCACAAATAAACTGGGGAGAGAAACTCCCTGAGCACCAGGGTTCTCTCACACAACACCGCTTCTCAAGCAATTGGCTTGTCGGAGAGTCCAGTGCAGTCAAAGGGTAACATGAGCAGTAAACGTCTGTCTTAAACACCTATTTGCTTAGTTCAGTATTTGTCTAAGTAGGTGGCTCTATGACCACTTAGAAAAGCACTGTGGGGCCAGAATGCAGGGGCTCATGCCTCTAATCCCAACACTTTGGGAGGCGAAGGTGGAAAGATCACTTGAGTTCAGGAGCTTGAGACCAGCTTGGGCAACATAGCAAAACCCACCTCTACCAAAAAAAAACAAAAAAGCAGGGTGTGGTGGTGTGTGCCTGTAGTCACTCTGTAGGTTGAGGTGGGAGGATCCCTTGAGCCCAAGAGGCAGAAGTTGCAGTAAGGCTAGATTGCACCACTGCAGTCCAGCCTGGGCAACAGAGGGAGACCCTGTCTCAAAAGAAAAAACAAAAAACCACTGTAGGGAATGCAGTTGGCCCTCAGTATCAACAAGGAATTGGTTCCAGGACTCCTGAGTATACCAAAAGTCAAGAATATTTAAGTCCCTTATATAAACGACTGAGTATTGCATATAACCTACACATCCTCCTATATGCCTTTTTTTTTTTTTTTTTTTTTTTGATAGGGTCTCACTCTATTGCCCAGGCTGGAATGCAGTTGTGCGATCTCAGCTCACTATAACCTCTGTCCCAGGTTCAAGTGAGTCTCCTGCCTCGTCCTCCCAGGTAGATGGGATTACAGGTACCTGCCACCACACCCGGCTAATTTTTGTATTTTTAGTAGAGACAGGGTTTCACCATGTTGGCCAAGCTGATCTTGAACTCCTGACCTCTAGTGATCTGCCTCCCTTGACCTGGAAAAGTGCTGGGATTACAGGCGTGAGCCACTACACCCAGCCCTCCCATATTCTTTCCTTCTTTCTTTCTCTCTTTCTCTTTCTTTCTTTCCTCCTTCTTTCCTTCCTTCCTTCCTTCCTTCCTTCCTTCCTCCTCCTCCTCCTTCTTCTTCTCCTTTCTTTCTTTCTTTTTCTTTTCTTTCTTCTTTCTTTTCTTTCTTTCTCTTTCTTTTTCTTTCTTTCTTTCTCTTTCTTTCCCTCTTTCTTTCCTTCCTTCCTTCCTTCCTTCTTTCTTTCTTTCTTTCAGATGGAGTCTCACTCTTGCTCAGGCTGGAGTGCAGAGGTGAGATCTCAGCTCACTGCAACCTCTGCCTCCCAGGTTCAAGTGATTCTCCTGCCTCATCCTCCCAAGTAGCTGGGATTACAGGCACGTGCCACCAATCCCAGCTAATTTTTGTATTTTCAGTAGAGATGGTGTTTCATTATGTTAGCCAAGCTGGTCTCGAATTCCTGGCCGCAGGTGATCCACCTGCCTCAGCCTCCCAAAGTACTGGTATTATAGGCATGAGCCACCGTGCCTGGCCTATTTTTTATTTTATTTTTTTTCTGGATATTTTTGATCCACAGTTGGTGGAATCTGCAGATGTGGAACCTGTGGATATAGAGAGCCAACTGTATAAATAAAGTATAATATGTGATCCTTGCCCTTAAGCAACTTATAATTTAGTTGGGAAGACAAGAATAACAAAAATAATTAGAAAGTAACATGTGCGACTGTAAGATTCACTGTCAAATTCTGTAGCTAAACTAAGCATTTAAAGAGAGCTCTACCTAGGGTTCAGAGGCTTGGGATGGTAATACTCACTTGATATTTCACTTCGGTAACACACCCCTTTTCTCTCCAGTCCACAGAATCAGGCAACATCTGATTAGGGTTTGACTTATATGTGATGTTTCTCTGCCACTGGCTGGGAACTCTCAGGGAACTCATCAAAGACATCACTTCTTCACTGGTCTACAAAGCAAATATACAGTCAGGCATCATTTAATGACTGGAATATGTTCTGAGAAATGCATCGTTAGTTGATTTTGTCATTTTGCAAACACCATAGTGTGTACTTACACAAGCCTAGAGAGTATCAGCTCCTACATACCTAGGGAGTATGGTAGGGCCCGCTGCTCCTATGCTACAAACCTGCATGGCATGGTGCTGTACTGAAGGTTGTAGGCATTTGTACAACAATATGAAGTACTTGTGTATCTAAATATAGCTAAACATAGAAAAGGTACATTGAAAACACAGTATAAAAAGTAAAAATGGGGGCTGGGGGCAGTGGCTCACCCCTGTAATCCCGGCACTTTGGGAGGCCAAGGTGGGCAGATCACCTAAGGTCAGGAGTTAGAGACCAGCCTGGCCAACATGGTAAAACTCTGTCTCTACTAAAAATACAAAAATTAGCCGGGTGTGGTGGTGTACGCCTGTAATCCCAGCTACTTGGGAGGCTGAGGCAGGAGAAATGCTTGAGCCTGGGAGGTGGAGGTTGCAGTGGGCCGAGATTGCATCACTGCACTCCAGCCTGGGCAACAGAGTGAAACTCCATCTCAAAAAAAAAAAAAAAAAAAAAAAAAAAGTAAAAATGGTACCCCTATATAGCGCATTTATCGTGAAATGACTGGAGTCACTCTGGGTGAGTCAGTGAGTGAGTGGTGAGTGGATGTGAAGGCCCAGGGCATTACTGGAGACTATAAACACAGTACACTAGGCTACACTGAATTTGTTAATTTTTCTTTCTTTGTTCACTAATAAATTAACCTTAGTTTACTGCAGCGTTTTTACTTAATAAACTTTTAATTTTTAAATGTTTTGTCTTTTATAGTAATACTCACCTTAGAATACAAACACATTGTATAGCTGTACGAAAATATTTTCGTCTTTATAGCCTTCTTTTGTAAGCTTTTTTCAATTTTTAATTTTTTAAAACTTTTAAACTTTTTTGTTAAAAACTAAAATACACACACCTACACACATTAGCCTAGGCCTATACAAGGTCAGGATCATCAATATCACTGTATTCCATCTCCACCTCTTGTCCACTGGAAGGTCTTCAGGGGCAATAACACGCATGGAGTTGTCACCTCTAATAACAATGTTTTCTACTGGATACCTCCTGAAGGACCAGCCTGAGGCTGTTTTACAGTTAACTTTTTTTAAGTGTGCCTACACTCTAAAATAACAATTAAAATTATAGTATAGTAAATACATAAACCAGTAATGTAGTCATTTATTACTATTAAGCATTTTGTACTGTGCATAATTTTATGTGCTATACTTTTATACCACTGGCAGAGCAATATGTTTATTTACAGCAGCATCACCACAAACAAGAGTTGGGTGTGTTGTGAAACAAGTGTGTTGTGCTACATCGCTAGGATGGCTACAACATCACTAGCTAGGCAAGAGGTACTTTTCTGCTCTATTATAATCTTAAAGTAACACCATGGCATATGCGGTTTATCAATGCCCAAAATGTATATGGCCCATGACTGTATATCTCCTTCCTTCCTTCTTTTCTTCCTTCCTTCCCTCCCTCCCTCCCTCTCTCTTTCTTTCTCCTTCCTTCCTTCCTTTTCTTCCTTCCTTCCCTCCCTCCCTCTCTCTCGCTCTCTTTCTCCTTCCTTCCTTCCTTCTTTCGCCAGAGTTTCACTCTTATTGCCCAGGCTGGAGTGCAATGGTGCAATCTTGGCTCACTGCAACCTCCACCTCCTGGATTCAAGCAATTCTGCTGCCTCAGCCTCCCGAGTAGCTGGGATTACAGGCGCACGCCACCACAGCTGGCTAATTTCGTATTTTTAGGATGATGGGCTTTCTCTATGTTGGACAGGCTGGTCTTAAACTCCCGACCTCAGGTGATCAACCCGCCTCGGTCTCCCAAAGTGCTGGGATTACAGGCATAAGCCACCACACCCAGCCTATCCTTCTTTCCAATATCCTAATAACTGTAACTGCGAATATATTTTAAAACTGACATGGAATAAAAAACTGAGAAAAATCAGTAATCGTTGTGACCAGCATAGGTTCCATTAGGAGCTGGTGGGGTGAATTATCCATGTTTGTTTAGTTTCACACTTGCCACTAGCATCCCAGTTAGGCACCCTCATGGGGAAGGAGAAAAAGAGAATGGTAAAAACCAGAAGTTATAGGGAGCCAGATTTTTGTTTCAAAGCAAGGCAGAATTTCATAAAAGGGCTGTCTAAAAAGTGGACTAAACTGGTTTCCCATGTGACAAGGAATTACAAAGGAGATTCCTGCATTTAAGAAGGAATTTAGTCTACCTAGGGTGTTCTCCTGTTCACTTTGGCCACAGTGGTAAAGTTTTAGAGGACAGAACAGAATCTGAAAACCAGTAGGAGATTATTTGTGATTTTAAATACCCACATGCTCCCATTAAGAAAGCGGATGGGGCTGGGCACGGTGACTCACAGCAGTAATCTCAGCATTTTGGGAGGCTGAAGTGGGCGGATCAAAAGGTCAAGAGATGGAGACCATCCTGGCCAACATGCTGAAACCCCATCTCTACTAAAAACACAAAAAATCAGCTGGGCATGTTGGTGTGTGCCTGTAATCCCAGCTACTCAGGAGGCTGAAGCAGGAGAATTGCCTGAACCCAGGAGGCAGAGGTTGCGGTGAGCCGAGATCGTGCCATTGCACTCCAGTGTGGGTAACAAGAGCAAAGCTCCTTCTCAAAAAAAAAAAAAAAAGAATATACAAAAAATTAGCCAGGCGTGGTGGTGCGTGCCTGTAGTCCCAGCTACTTGGAGGCTGAAGCAGGAGAATTGCTTGAAACCGGAAAACAGAAGTTGCAGTGAGCCGGGATCACCCCACTGTACCCCAGCCTCGTGATAGAGCAAGATTCCGTCTCAAAAAAAGAAAGCAGAAAGCAGAAGGACCATTTTAAATTGTCAATCTAGACTTAAATAAGTATGGCAACTTACTATAAAAGCTAAAAGCCTGTGGATAGTCTTTAGGCAGTATTTTCTGGAATTTATAAAAGAAATAAAACAATGGTAGTCTGTGAGTTTAAAATTTCCTCTACAGAAGAGATTTGTTAAAGAAAGCAGTCAAAGTGGAACTAAGTAAGAATTTCTGTACACGTTCTTATGTTCTTAAATTCTTCTGCCTTCCAACTTGGTACTACACATTCCTTTATTGTTGTTTACCTTCAAATTGCTTTTGAGGAGATAGAAAGGAAATGATGCTTACCCAGACATGAAAGTGGGATTCTTTGTAATGTACCTACCATGTCTCCCAGGTGGTTCATGCCCAGATCATATGAGTGCATTCCCATTGAATGCTCCAGGTTGTGAAGCATCACAAACTTTAGATTCTTTTCCCAGATGAGACGTCGTACTGCTTCTTCATTCTAAAACATAGTGAAGAAGAACATAGTCATACTGCATCCCTGACAAGTAAGTGTTCAATGATGAAAATGGCATTTTTTTTTTTGAGATGGAGTCTCAGTCTGTTGCCCAAGCTGGAGTCCAGTGGCGAAATCTCAGCTCACTGCAAACTCTGCCTCCCATGTTCAAGTGATTCTCCTGCCTCAGTCCCCCGAGTATCTGGGATTACAGGCACGCGCCACCACGCCCAGCTAATTTTTGTATTTTTAGTAGAGATGGGGTTTTACCATGTTGACCAGGATAGTCTCAATCTCTTGACCTCGTGATCCGCCCACCTCAGCTTTCCAAAGTGCTGGGATTACAGGTGTGAGCCACTGCACCCAGCTGAAAATAGCAATTTTGAAGCTATCCATATTCTACCAAATATGGATCTGCCTGAGAGCATGAAAATAAATGAATATATCCAATATAACTGCCAACTTCACATATTAATCTTAAGTCTTGCTCTTAATTGTTTTGATGGTGATTAATATTATTTTATGATAAACATAATGAATTTTCTTCTTTTAAAAATTTATTATTATTGGTTTTCATTTTTTTTTTTTAGAGAGAGAGTCTCACTCTGTCACTCAGGCTGAATGGTGTGCAGTGAAGTAGCGTGATTACTACTCACTGCAGCCTTGACCTCTTGGGACCCAGGAATCTTCACACCTCAGCCTCCTGCATACTGGGATCACTGATGTGTGCCACTGCAGCCAGTTTTTTTGTTTTTTGTTTTTGGTAGAGACTGGGTCTCCCTATGTCGCCCAGGCTCATCTTGAATTCCTGGGCTCAAGCAGTCCTCCATCAGCTTCTTAAAGTGCTGGGATTATAGGTGTGAGCCACTGTGTTCAGCATTTCTTTCTTTTATTCTTTTTTTTTTTTTTTTGATAGAGTCTTTTTCTGTTGCCCAGGCTGGAGTACAGTGGTCTGATCACAGCTCACTGCAGCCTCAAACTCGTGGGCTCAAACTATCCTCCCATCTCAGCTGCCAGGGTAGCTAGGACTACAAGCACACACCACCACAACCAGCTTATTTTTATTATTATCATTATTTATTTTTTGGAGAGACAGGGTCTCCCTATGTTGCCCAGGCTGGTGTCAAACTCCCGACCTTAAAGAATCCTTCCCCCTTGGCCTCCCAAAGTGCTGGGGTTATGGGCGTGAACCATGCACCCAGTCATGATTTTCTTTCTTTTTGATATTTTACAACTTCATTACATGTGTCTGGGTGTAGGTTTCTTTATTTACCTTCAGCTGTGTACTTTTGATTGGATGACTCAGGACCTTTTCTCATATCTGGAAAATTCTCAACCAGTGTCTCCGCATATATTGTTTCTCCACCATTCCATCTAATTCTCTTCTTCAGAAACTCCTCTCTGAAGTATTTTGGAGCCTCAGACTCTCTCTCACCTCTCTGACTTGTGATTTCATAGATTTTTCTTTTTATTTCTAGGTGCTGCATTCTGGGTGAATGCCTCAGCACTATATTTTAGATGACTGATTCTATCCAACTCTTTCCAGTCTGGGAATCCTTTTGATTTTTATTGTAATGACAATATTTTTTCTTTCCAAAATTTCTAATTTATCTTGCAATTTCTTTTTCATTAGTGTGCATATTACTCCTTTATATATAGTCTTTTGAAAAGTCATTTTTGGTTCTATTATTTTAATTTTACTCAGAGTGAATTTTCTTTTCCTCTAGGAGATTCATTTACATGGAAAACAATGATGTAGAAGGCAAGGTGGATGGTGCCTCCTAGAATAGCTGAAGCCAGAGCTTCCAATAAGCTAGAACCCCAGGGAGCGGCTAGCACAACTCTGTTCTGCCTCATTTCATTGAGCCGGTGAGGCCAGGCCCGACCCTAATTTTAGGCACTGGGTAGCAAGTCTGGATGCAGGTTTCTCTCCCTTGGAGCAAGGTTTTACTGTTACCCTGTAATGGACATAATGCGCATGTATGATGGGCATACTTTCAGACCACAAGATGAGAGGCAATGGTATAAAGACAAACAAATCTAAGTACAAGAAAGGAAAAGAAAAAAAAGAAGTACACTTTGCGATCAACTATTAAGGTAGGATGCTAATCAAAAGTCATGTTCATTCCTCCTGAGGGATTGGAATTATTAAAAAAAGGAATAGCATTCATTTAACCAGATAGTGGTGCTAATTGCACATTTAACTCCAGTCAACCTTGAAATGAGGAACCTGGTCATAAAGGGTGTGGGTGAGGGTAAAATTCATCACCACAAAGGAAACCATATGATCATTTCAATGGATGCAGAAAAAGCATTTGCAGAATTCAACATCCTTTCATGACAAACATTCTCAGCAAATTACATATAAAAGGAATGTCCCTCAACACAGATAGGCCAGATATGACAAGACTGCAGCTAACACCATGCTCAACTGGGTGAAAATTTGAAGGTCGTTTCGCTAAGATCAGAAAAAAAAAAGGATACGCACTCTCTCACCATTTCTAGTCAATATAGTACTGAAAATCCTAGCCAGGGCAATTAGGCAAGACAAAAAATACAAGGCCTCCAAATAAGGAAGGGAAGAAGTGAAAAGAAGAAAATAATAAAAATTAAAAAAAAAACAACAAAGAATAAAAAAGAAAGGGAAGAAGTAAAATTGCCTTTGTTTGTTGATGACATGATCATATAAAATCTTGGCCAGGTGTGGTGACTCATGCCTGTAATTGCAGTACTTTGGGAGGTGGAGGTGGGAGGATTGTATGACTCAAGAAGTTCAATACCAGCCTGGACAACATGGCAAGACATCTCTACAAAAAACAAACACAGAAATTAGCACGTGTGGTGGCATGTGCCTGTAGTCCCAGCTACTTGGAAGGCTGAGGCAAGAGCATCACTTGAGCCGGGAGTTTGAGGCTGCAGTGAGCTATGATCACACCACTTCACTCCAACCTAAGTGATGAAGCAAGGGCTCATCTCAAAAAAAAAAAAAAAAAAAAAAGAAAAGAAAAAGAAAAGGCCAGGTGCAGTGGCTCATGTGTGTAATCCCAGCATTTTGGGAGGCCAAGGTGGGTGGATCATGAGGTTGGCAGTTTCAGACCAGCCTGACCAACATGGTGAAACCCCGTCTCTACTAAAAATACAAAAACTATCTGGGCATGGTGGCATGCAGCTGTAATCCCAGCTACTCAGGAGGCTGAGGCAGAAGAACAGCTTGAATCTGGGAGGCAGAGATTGCAGTGAGCAGAGATCGCGCCACTGTACTCCAGCCTGGGTGACAGAGTAAGACTTTGTCTCAAATAGGCCCCCCCCCCCAAAAAAAAAAAAGAGAGAGAGACAAAAAAAAAAAGAAAGAAGAGAAAATCTTAAAGATTCCATCAAAAAACTATTAGAATTGTTATATTAATGCAGTAAAGTAGGACACAAAGTAAACGTACAAAAGTCAGCAGTGTTTTTATACACTAACAACTATTTGCAAAAGAAATTAGGAAAACAATTCTATTTGCAATAGCACTTAAAACATACTTAGGAGTAAATTTAACCAAGGAGTTGAAAGGTTGTATGCCGAAAACTATAGAACATTGATGAAAGAAATTGAAGACAAAATAAATAAATGGGAAGATATTCCATGCTCATGGATTGGAAGAATTAATATTGCTAAAATGTTCATACTACCCAAAGCAAACTAGAAATTCAGTGCAATCCCTATCAAAATTTCAATGTTATTCTTCACAGAAATAGGAAAAAGCAATCCTCAAATTCATAGGTAACTACAAAAGTCCTCAAAGAGTCAAAGCAATCTTTAGCAAGAGGAACAAAGCCGGAGGCATTACAGTACCTAATTTCAAAATATATTACAAAACTATAGTAATTTAAACATCATAGTACTTGCATAGAAACAGATGCATTTACCAAAGGAATAGGATATAGAGCCCAGAAATAACCTGCAATTTTATAGTCAATCGATTTTCAGCAAAGGTGCCAAGAACACACAATGGTGAAAGGATAATCTCTTTAATAAATAGTACTGGGAAAACTGGCTATCCACACGCAATAAAATGAAACTGAACCCTTATGTCACTCCATATACAACAATCAACTCAAAATGAATTAAAGCATAAATATAAGGCCTGAAACTATACAACTACTATAAGAAAATATAGGAGAAAACTCTGCAACATTGGTTCGGATGATGGATTTTTGAATATGACCCCTAAAGCATAGGCAACAAGAGCAAAAATAGACAAATGTGACTCCATCAAACTAAAAAGCTTTTGTACAATAAGGGAAACAATTAACAGAGTGAAAGGATAACTCATAGATTGGGGGAAAATATTTACAAATTATATATTTGATAAGGGGCTAATATCCCAAATATAGAAAAAACTCAAAGTAACCAATAACAAGAAAACAACTCTGTTTAAAAATGGGCAAAAGACCTGAATAGATATTTCTCAAAAGAAGACACATACAAATGGCGAATAGATACGTGAATAAATGCTCAATATCACCAATCATCAGGGAAATGCAAATTAAAACCACAATGAGATATCATCTCATATCTGTTAGAATGGCTATTATCAAAAGGATGAAAGATAAGGGTGAAGATGTGGAGAAAAGTGAACCCTTATACACTGTTAGTGGGAATGTAAATTAGTATAGCCATTTTGGAAAACAGTGTGGAGGTTCCTCAAAAAACTAAAAATGTAATTACCATATGATCCAGCAATCTCACTTCTGGGTATATGTCCCAAGGAAGCGCAATCAGTATGTCAGCGAGACAGCTGCACTTCCATGTTCACTGTAGCATTATTCACAATACCCAAGATATGGAATCAACCTTATAAAGTGTCCATCAAAAGATGAATCAATAAAACAGTGTGGTACATATTGTATTCCATACATAATGCAATATTATTTAGCCTTAAAAAAGAAAGAAATTCTGTCATTTCCAACAACATGAATGGGTCCACAGAACATTATGCTAAGTGAAATAGGCCAGGCACAGAAAGATAAATACGGCATAATCCCACTTACATGTGGAATCTAAAAAAGTTGAACTCATAGAAGTAGAGAGTAGAATGGTAGTTAGCAGAGGCTGGGAGAAGGGTAGACAGGGAAAGGGGAGATTTAAGTCACAGAGTACAGAGTTTCACTTAGACAGGAAGATTAAGCTCTAGCAATCTACCATAGCATGGTGACTACAGATAATAATGTATTTTATATTTTTAAATTACTGAAAGGATAGATTTTAAATGTCTCATCACAAAGAAAGGATAAGTATGTGAGGTGCTGAATATGTTAATTAGCCTAATTTAATCATTCTGCAATGTATATGTGTATCAAAACATCACATTGTACTCCATAAATATACACAATTATTATTTAATTATAAATAAAAACAAAACAGAGTAAATAATCTACTAAGAGTGTCATTTTTATACAAAATAATATGTCAAATAAATATATGATGCTAACTTACAAACAGAAATATTATATAGTTACAGGACTTAGTTACTTAAAGCAATAGGGTTAAGATCTTAACATCAGCAAGAATGCTTTGAAATAAAAATAAAACTACAAAATGGGAAGTGACAGCCAAGCAACAATATCTGGTCGCACTATGTGGGTAATAAGTTCTTTTTAATCCTCACCCGTCTCAAATGTGGCCCTTCCTCAGGGGCTTGTGCTCGTTTGCCCTTGACCTGAGACCTTCATTATGTATTTTGCTTGCTCCCTGGTTTCCATCAATTCTTTGCTCAAATGGAACCCTTATCCGTGAGCCCTTCCCTTACCTGCGTATCTTATAGATAGAATTCTTGCCACCACCACCACCCAGGACCCTTTCTACTCTCTATGGCTTCCTTTATTTTTTATCTACAACACTTACCACCATCTAACTATGTATCTGGTTATTTTGGTTATTTATTTTCTTATTTCCTGTCTCTCTCACTATAATATAAGCTTTATAAAAGGAATTTTATTTTGATTCCTGCTGTATGGTACCAAGAACAGTATCTGGCAAGAAACAAGTACATAGTATTTATTTATTTATTTTTGAGAGAGTCTCACTCTGTCACCCAGAGTGGGGTGCAGTAGTGTGATCTCGGCTCACTGAAACCTCTGCCTCCCAGGTTCAAGCAATTCTGCCTCAGCCTCCTGAATAGCTGGGATTACAGGCACCTGACACCATGCCTGGCTAATTTTTGTATTTTTAGTAGAGATAGGGTTTCATCATGTTGGCCAGGCTGGTCTCGAACTCCTGACATCAGGTGATTCACCCATCTTGGCCTCCCAATTTGCTGGGATTACAGGCGTAAGCCACCGTGCCCAGACTAAATATTTACTGAAAACACTGCCTAAGAACGCAATTTTGAGGGGTAGAAAACAGTACTCCTGTAAAAGCATATCACTCGAGAGGCAATCCAATCCAATCTACCTTTTCTTTATATTGTTTGCCATAGGTTTTCTTCCAGAGATTCCAGTGGTGATCCAAGGTGGGATCTTGATGCAATTGCGCCACTGCAGAGGAGCACACGAAGAGCACACAAACCAGCTGTTTCACTCTGTGTAAAGAAAGGTAACATAGGAAGTGTAGCTATTAACTGCATTTGTTGTGACCATATTTTTCATAATAGAAAATAACAATGTGAAGTCTATCAAAGGGACAGACTATTATAAATCAAAATTACACAGGAAAATTCCTGGGATACAGTCAGGGGGAATAACTGCAAATTTATGTCTGAAATACTACTTCCAATACTTAATAGTACTTCAAAAAATGATTTCTGGCCAGGCGCGGTGGCTCACGCCTGTAATCCCAGCACTTTGGGAGGCCGAGGATCAAGACCATCCTGGCCAACATAGTGAAGCCCCGTCTCTACTAAAAATACAAAAATTAGCGGGTGTGGTGGCGTGCGCCTATAGTCCCAGCTACTCGGGAGGCTGAGGCAGGAGAATTGCTTGAACCCAGGAGGCGGAGGTTGCAGTGAGCCGAGATCGAGCCACTGTACTCCAGCCTGGTGACAGAGCGAGACTCCGACTCAAAAAAGAAGTGATTTCCAGGAGTTTCCCAATATCTGGTAAACCAAACACATCTAGGGAGTTAGAAAACAGGGACTTCCCAGGATTTGCCAACAAATCTAATAAAAGGAAATCTCTCTCTCTCTTTTGGAAAAAAAAATATCCTTAAGAAGAGGACAAACCGCTGAAAACTTAGTTTATCGTCTGAATTTTTGAATACAGGAGCTTTTCTTAACTGACCTATTTAAATATCCACAATCTTTACAGATAGTTAAAAGACAACTCTCATCTATTGCTTTCACATCTTTAGATAGACAATTTTCCTTGTTTTTTTTTCAATGATCAGACATGTTTCAAATGAAACAATTAACTACCCTTTATTTTTTATTTTTTTTTTTCTCCTTGCTCCTTCCTTAACTACTCTTTAAAATGGCACTTCTATATTTAATTCCAAGAGACTTCAACAGAAATTCAGTAACTAGCTCCCTCAAACTGGATTCTACTTTCTTTTTCATTGAAAACATCTGGAATTTTAAACATGTAAACCTTCAAATTATATTCCAAAGAAAGCCACGTTTTAGCCTCAACTTAGATGCTTAGATGCTCAAGCAGACATCAACTTTTTAAAAATAGAGAAGAGACAAATTGAGTGACACGATTTTTTAGTTTACTTCCTGAGAGCAAGATTTAAAACCTAGAGGGCAGAACAAGCTACGAACACAAACAAAGTGTTTGAAGACCAAATCGGAGAAAAAGAACAGTACATACGTGACAGAACCAGCAGGTGCTCCCATGGTAAGGGTCCTTAACTTGGTGGGCTCTCTTCTAAGATTTCAAAGGCAAGGAGATTTCAGTTCAATTGACTTTAAAAAGAAATTGGAACTTGTCACATGAGGTACCCACAATGAGGAAGTGAACTTTCATTTCAGTTTCGTTTAAAATCTAGCTAGCTCAGTCACCTCTGGTCCTCTCCCTATGGTCTTGGGGACAAAGTGGATACCGTAAGCCATCAAAAAGAGCCCTTGGCAGGGCACGGTGTCTCACACCTGTAATCCCAGCACTTTGGGAGGCCAAGGCGGGTAGATCGCCTGAGGTCAGGCATTCGAGACCAGCCTGGCCAACATAGTGAAATCCCATCTCTACTAAAAATACAAAAAAATTAGCCGGGCGTGGTGGCAGGCACCTGTAATCCCAGCTACTTGGGAGGCTGAGACAGGAGACTTGCTTGAACCCAGAAGGCAGAGTTTACAGTAGCCGAGATGGCACCACTCCAGCCCGGGCAAGAGTGCAAGACTCTGTCTCGAGAAAAAAAAAAAAAAAAAAAAAAAAAAAAACCCTTGGCTAGGCCCAGTGGCTCATGCCTGTAATCCCAGCACTTTGGGAGGCCAAGGCAGGAGGATCACTTGAGGCCAGGAGTTCAAGACCAGCCTGGGCAATATAGCAAGACCCTGTCTCAGTAGATAGAGCTAGGAAATATCTTTTTTTAAAAAAATTAAATAGATCACAAACTCACACTGATATTTCAACTTCAAATTCAAGATTATAGGGTTTACCCAACCCCATCAATCTTGAACTTCTTTTCAAACATGCTTTAAAAATCTGAGTTGTCTAAAGTATCAACTCAAGTACTTCTTCAATTTATCCTGTAAAATTGCAGGATAACAACAACAAGCCTACGACCAATAAGATTATTAATGAAAACAAATTAGAGAGTTTAAGTGGGAGGGGTACATTAAGCCATATTCCACTAAGGATGTAAGTCAATTACTGTGTTCTGAAGTCACCTGAAATAGTTCCCGGGGTGGTTATGCCACCACTTCCATACAATTAGGTTTATTTGGTTCATTTCACTTTTTCCTTTTAGGGATTGCTTTTTACACTTGTAATTTTGTTTTATAATTATGTATAACATGGGATCCAAAGTGAAATCAACACAATGAGGTATATTCAAAGAATTCTAGCCTCTCTTTTTGTCTGCTTTACACGATTTCCTTTTTCCCTGGTTGGTAATCATTTAAACAATTTATGATTTATTGCCCATGTAAAAATATGCAAATATGCCTATATATTGATACTCCTCCACTTTTTTCTGTACTCCTCCATCTTAAGTGAACGCTAATACACATACTTTCCTCTATCTTCTTTTTTCACTTAAGATTTTTTTCTTTATTTCAGTCAATCACTTAACATTTAATTAAGAAAAATTATTCAAGAGAAAGAGATTATCAGGTGTCGTTTCAGTGGTGTGCTGGGAATTATTTAGTGAACCTTTACAAGAATTGTTTGATTCTTTTTAGAGTTAAGTTGTAAAAAACTGATAACTATGCAAATGATCCCTATACAAGGCAATGCAAATAAATTTTGTGTTGTAGATTTTGCTGAATAGAGAATATAGACCTCTAATTCTTTTTTTTTTTTTTTTTTCTTTTTGAGACACAGCCTCACCCTATCACCCAGGCTGGAGTTCAGTAACGCGATCTCTGATCTCGGCTCATTGCAACCTGCACCTCCTGGGTTCAAGCATTCTCTTGTCTCCTCCTCCTGAGTAGCTGGGATTACAGGCATGCACTACCATGCCCAGCTAATTTTTGCATTTTTAGTAAAGATGGGGTTTCACTATGTTGTCCAGGCTGGTCTTAAACTCCTGACCTCAGGTGTTCCACCAACCTCGGCTTCCCAGAGTGCTGGGATTACAGGCATGAGCCACTGTGCCTGGCCTCAAATTCTTATTTGAACTAATTTTAATCTTACTGATCCCTTATTAATTAATGAGTTAAATAAAATCTTTGACATGTTCATTGTATATTTGTTATAGGAGTCATGTTCTCAGCTTTTTAGAAACTATAGCAATTAAATTCTGATAACTCCACAGTAGTATACATAGGGTTCATTTATTTTTATGGCCATGTAGCATCTTTCGAACAATATTCCTATGTCTGGAGAATTTCCCTCATTATAAATTTTGCTTCTCCCAGTTGAAGCCAAAACTCCATCTTTAAGGCTCCAATGCAGTTAAGGCACAGACATGAGAACTAGCCTTTGTCAGTCAGGCACACCTGTATAGAACATTATTTTGCAAATGGTTGAGGAACCATAAGTATGTAAAATCCTTCTTTTTTTTTTTTTTTTTTTTTTGAGACAGAGTTTTGCTCTTGTTGCCCAGGCTGGAGTGCAATGGCGTGATCTCGGCTCACTGCAACCTCCGCCTCCCGGGTTCAAGCAATTCTCCTGCCTTAGCCTCCCAAGTAGCTAAGATTACAGGCATATGCCACCATGTTTGGCTAATTTTTGTACTTTTAGTAGAAATGGGGTTTCTTTATGTTGGTCAGGCTGGTCTTGAACTCCTGACCTCAGGTGATCCACCCACCTTGGCCTTCCAAATTGCTGGGACTACAGGCGTGAGCCACCATCCGCGTCTGGCCTAAAATCCTCCTTTTGCTGAGAATGGCAGTAGAGCTGTCTCCCAGCAGCAGCAGCAACAGTGGCAGCAGCAGACATTCTAACATCTGGTCCCCAGTGTCACCTGTTCAAGCTGTAGTGTTTATGTCAAATATTGTGTTTGCTCGGTGGCATCACAGGTTGAGCAGTCCTCTCTGCGTGGACTGGGTGAGGTTTGTGGTTACACAGTGAACAAACCTTATGGCCTTTCACAGATTCTTCGGGCTTCCTGCACTTCTTAAATAAACGGTAGTGCCCAGATACATTAACCCAGTAATGACATTCACAGCTGTGCTGAGTTTGGAAAAACAAGGGTGGAGTCTCAGAAGCTAGAATGGGTAAGGTGCTTTTCTCAGGCTGAGAACAGAGTAAACTCAAGAAGAACACTACTGCGGAACGCTTCATAATTTCAGATTGCCTTCTCTATCCTTCTTTACACATCTGATCTCATAGCTGATTTTTTTTTTTTTTTTTTGCTTTTAGCCTTGATACCTTTATATGTATTTCTACCTCCAGAAATACGTAGTTCAATTTTCTTAATGAGGAAATGAGCATAGGAACAAATTTCTTTCCATCAAGATTAAAATGATAGACAATTGTTTTACAAGGTACCATGTATTTTCCCAGTCATTATTTCTCTGTCTGACAGGGTCTATAAACCTACACTCAGTACAGAGCATAACCATGGTGATTAGGCGACAGCGCACCTTCTGCCTCCATTCCTGGGTATTACCTACAGGGAACTGTGTATGAAATTATGTCTCTAGCTGTTTCAGGTAATCCTCTATCAAGTGGGAAAAAAATTCGGGGTTAATTGTGTTTTCTAGTGGTACTCTAAACAGGATTCAGGATGGCAGCAGCCATCTAAATGTCCTCCCTTGTTTATTTCGAAATCCATAATTAATTCCAGATTTACCATGAAACTAAGTTAAGTTGGTCCCAAAATGAAACAGGCCTCTCAGGGACATACCCACCTCCTCCCAGCCTGCCTTTGGACTCGGTAAGTAAGCAGACCATGTCTGTCTGATACACATGACCCCTGGTTAATATGTAGGTTGTAGAAGAAACCAAAATTTTACTTATGGAATGCAGGGGGAATAAAAATGAATTAGCTTTTGTGAGATAAAGAACAACTGACATATCAACTGCTATTGTATTTTCTGTTGTCAGGGCGTGGGCTGAGTAAAAAGCTTCAAAGCTTTTGCATATGTCTTGGTTCTGCCATCTGTTGGTTATAAGGCCTGGAGCAAGTGAGTTAACATGGCCGTGGCTCACTTCCTATGCATAAGTGAGAAAATTCTGACTCAGTGGCAACTAAACAGCGGAAGACACCAGCAATAGAATGTAATTATAATGTCACTCCATGAGGTGGTAAGATTTGACGCTCCCAGCTAATTATTCCTAAGTCCATTCCTTTTGCAGAACAAGTTTCTAATAAAGTACTCAATATTAAGATAGATGATTATGAGCAAGTGCTACTATGTAGGGTATTCATTTGAAATATGAATACTCCTGGCACTCATTTGTTAATGTTCCATTTGGTATCTTTTTGTCTGTGGGATTGGGGGGGGGGTCTAATTACTACTGCCTGAACAAAAACAGCAAGTATTTTCTTGGAGGAAACAAAATCTTATTTAAAAACCTTTGTTAATTATGTAATTTCTCAGCATTGTTTTAGTGCTGTGGAAAGCACAATACTGATTCTTGGCACAATCTCAGGAGGAGGGATTGATGGCATGAGGTAACTACAAGGAGCGCTGAACTCTTTTTTTATTTTTATTTTTTGAGACAGAATCTTGCTCTGTCACCCAGGCTGGAGTGCAATGGCACAATCTCGGTTCACTGCAACCTCCACCTCCCAGGTTTAAGCGATTTTCCTGCCTCGGCCTCCTGAGTCGCTGGAACTGCAGGCGCCTGCCACCATGCCTGGCTAATTTTTGTATTTTTAGTAGAGACGAGGTTTCACCACATTGGCCAGGCTGGTCTCAAACTCCTGACCTTGTGATCCGCCCACCTTGGCCTCCCGAAGTGCTAGGATTACAGGCACGAGCCACCGTGCCCTCCCTGAACTCTTATGAGTCAAGCACTTACCCTCTACACCAGCAGGACTAGCTCCTTTCTCAATTATGTTGGTGTCTTACTGTATAGATAACACAAAAAGTAGGAGGGGATTAATGGAATTAAAGTGTTTAGGTACCTAGCATTATGTTTATTTGTTCAGATGTATCTCAAGCACCTAGAACAGTATCTAGCACTCAGTAAATATTTGATGAAAGAATGAAGGATTTGCAGGAATCTGGTGACCAAAGTTTGGTCACCACCACTGGTGTAAGTTACCCAACTTGGTATCTTGGCTAGTCAGTCAGCTGACATATTTGAAATATTTAAGAAGCTGTGAAAGAATATAAAATGCACATATCCTATCTTTGGTTGCTGAAATCTAGCTGGGAGTTATAGAAGA